TAATAATAATAATAATAATATAAATTATCATTATTAGTATATTAATTAAAACTCTGTGTTAGTGATATTTATGTAATAATTATTCCTATTTTCTACATTAGGGATGACACATACGACATTCTTGGGATATGTGACTGGGGACAAAAGATGTCATTCTATCAGCTGAGTGGCAAACAGGTGAGCAGAGCTGTTGAATATTGTCAACTAAATGAAAAATGTTTAATTCTCACTGCCAGGATTTTTCGTGCATATCAAGATTTTATAGGTTTCAGGAAGACAAAATTGCAGGAAAGTCAATGAAACTCTGTGTCGTGGGACCACAGAGAAATTGTCATTGCTACAAAATTTTGCGATTTTCCTTCACCTGTGAAATTCACAAAAAAATGACTCTCTCAATATAAAAGTGGTTTACAGTATACAAGTACTGCTTTTAAATAATAATTGGTACTGAGAGCTACCTATGCAAATAATGCACTGTGCCCCTTTGATTTGACTTCTCAAAACATAAGTTTTTCCAAGATGTGTGTCTAAAAAATCATTCCTAAAATACGTAAAAAAAATCTAGATTATTAGTGCTCAGGTTGTCAAGATGGTATGCCAGAATTTGGTTTGTTAATTTTGTGTTTCTTTGCATAGATTGGAAAAGATCGTCACCTGGGCTATGATCCATGCTGTCTTAGTTACTTCACTAAAGGTGAATATCTGGTGGTCGGTGGATCTAATAAACAGGCTGTGCTTCATACCAAGGAAGGTGTGCAATTAGGTGTGATTGGTGAACAGCAGTCATGGGTGTGGTGTTGTAAAGTTAGGCCTGATCAGAACTATGTGGTAAGTACCAATATTTGTAATCCAATAGGTATAGATAGTACTTGACAAAGCAGAGGAATTAACCTTTCAGGATATTGTTGTCATACTGAAACTGCTATGTAAGGATGCATATTTCAGAGACTACATGTGTCTTGGTCATAATCCACTGCAAGAAAACTAGCTTCATTAACAATTAGTTATTCTTGCATCTAGCTGTATGATCTATTTCATATCAAGATTATAATTGTAATTGTGTTTATCATGTCCAAGTCAATATGCAGTGTGGGGTCATCTGAGGCATTCTGGAGGTCTAAATGTTAGAAAGGTGATGTGCCTTCCTATATAAGAACAGCAGGGAAGCTAATTATAGCATACAGTGCATAAGACCTATATTGTTGCTTATTTGTAGGCTGTAGGTTGTCAAGACGGCACTATTGCCTATTATCAGCTGATATTCAGCACAGTGCATGGTTTGTACAAAGATAGATATGCCTACAGAGAAAACATGACAGATGTCATTATACAACATCTTATTACAGACCAGAAAGTACGCATTAAATGCAGAGACCTGGTCAAAAAAATAGCTATCTACAAACACAGGCTAGCGGTGAGTCACTTTTTTCTTCCTTTTTATACTGTAATTAAATTAAGTTTGGTCAAGTGATAAAAACTAAGAATTTAGCTACGCAAATAACGTTTGTAGAAGTCATTTGTATATTCCTGGTGTGGGGCGGGCAGAGCAGGGCAAGGTACTACCATGGATGTATGATATGATTGTGCCACCAGTATGTCTAGGTCCCAACCCTTAGCAAAAATGGATGACCCCTTACACAAAACTTGGTGAAAATGTATACACTGGAACTATTTATATATATTTATATTCAGTGGCGCCACTAAGTGATGAAGATACATGTAGGGTTCTCCCTACCAGGGTGTGGAGTTTTGAGCATTCTAATTACTATCAGACAGGTCACAGTTGAAGACTGTGGCCACATGTGATCCCTGGTCAATCAGAATTTTATGGTTGCCAGAGGATCTGCTACCCAGGGTAAGGGCGCGCATGGCCATGGCATGAGAGTGCTGCGCCCCTGTGCCCTTGTTTAAAAAAATCACTGTTCATACATTCCAACAAGGAATGCTGAAGGTAAACTCTTTTCCTGACTATGACTCACAATTGAAGTATCTCACTGATTATTTGTTGATATTCTGTTTTATTCTATAGGTTCAGTTGCCAGATAAGATAGTTGTATATGAGTTGTATAGTGATGACTCTGCTGATATGCATTATAGGGTTAAAGACAAGATAACTAGAAAATTTGATTGTAATTTATTGGTTGTTTGCGCACAGCATATTGTATTATGCCAGGTAAGTCTGGAAGTGACTTGAATCATCATTATTTTAGTTACCAACAAATCGGTATTAATTGACCTCACTTGTGTTGGAAAGTTGCTGTAATGCTATACACCTTCAAGTTTAGTTGTGATGATGTCATATTTAGACTGCGCCCTCTGTGTTCATTATTCACATATTCATGACCTCACCTGTGCTGGCAAGTTGCTGTGATGTTATACACCTTCAGTTTAACAATGATGATGTCATATTTAGACTGCGCCCTCTGTGTTCATTATTCACATATTCATGACCTCACCTATGTTGGCAAGTTGCTGTGATGTTATACACCTTCAGTTTAACAATGATGATGTCATATTTAGACTGCGCCCTCTGTGTTCATTATTCACATATTCATGACCTCACCTGTGTTGGCAAGTTGCTGTGATGTTATACACCTTCAGTTTAACAATGATGATGTCATATTTAGACTGCGCCCTCTGTGTTTATTATTCACATATTCATGACCTCACCTGTGTTGGCAAGTTGCTGTGATGTTATACACCTTCAGTTTAACAATGATGATGTCATATTTAGACTGCGCCCTCTGTGTTCATTATTCACATATTCATGACCTCACCTGTGCTGGCAAGTTGCTGTAATGCTATACACCTTCAGTTTAGCAGTGATGATGTCATATTTAGACTGCGCCCTCTGTGTTCATTATTCACATATTCATGACCTCACCTGTGTTGGAAAGTTGCTGTAATGCTTATACACCTATATGTATAGCATATATGATACTATTGATATTGTTAAGAAAAACTGAATTGCTATCAATATACCCAATCCAATGATAACTTTTTCAGAGGTTTGTGTGTGTATAATAAAATGAAATCAATATGGTTATCATGTCATGTTCTATATTTATGAGAAACACAACAAGTTTTCTGTCAACATTATGGTTGGATAATTCTAGTAGTCCAAAGTGAAGAAAAATTATATGGACTTATTTTTTGTGTGTGTTGTTTACAGGAAAAGGTGTTGACATGTTTATCATTCGCTGGTAGTAAAGAAAGAGAATGGATGATGGAATCATTGATACGATACATCAAAGTCACTGGTGGACCCACTGGTAGGGAAGGGTTACTGGTTGGTTTGAAAAATGGACAGGTAAGTGTGTTTGAATTTCCAGGAATTAACGTTGCAATGAGATATCACTGATCAGATACTATTGACTTCACTTTTTCTTTAAACAAAGAATGCAAATCACTTTTTACCCCAAAATGCCATATTTTACAATGTGTGTCAAACATCATGTCTGAGCTTATAGTGCACCTCGGAGGTTACTGCTAAAATAGCTTATAACTATATGTATTCTCCTCAGTGGAAAGTCTTTATAAATTGGTGCATCCATGATATTTCACTTTTAGCTTCACACTGTACCATTAATAGGCAGTGTGTTGTGTATTTGGCGCACACACTGTACTATACATTGTAAAATGAATACGACAGTGATTACAAGTAGTAATCAAATAGGTAAAAATTGTTTTAATTTTTAATCACTAATATCGTTAATTGTTATTTTCATTGCTAGATTCTGAAGATATTTGTCGACAACCCTTTCCCTATTTTATTACTCAAACAACAGACATCAGTGCGCTGTTTAGATCTCAGTGCCAGTCGCACTAAGATATCAGTGGTGGACGAACATAATACTTGTCTGGTCTATGATGTAAATACCAAGGAACTACTTTATCAGGTAAGCTACACTGATTTTAATGGAACTAAGACTTTTATGAGTTTACTGGTGAATTTTGTGTTCATAATGAATTATGTACAGTTTCTCCAATGACAGTGTAAATCTTTGTTGAAAGCACAATTAGTTTGATTGAATAACTGTGATTAAATTGCATGAAATTCACTGATTCCCATTCTAAAGAAACTTATTGGAATTTATACTGCTACAATACATTGCAATGTTTCCTGAATGCTTATATGATGCATTTGCTTAGCAAAGACTATTTGCTGACTTGACTTCATTTTATTTTCGAGTGTGAAAGGCTGGTTCTTGCCAATCAGTCACTTGCACATGCAAAACAGCCTTTAGAGTTTGAATACTCAGAGTTGTTTTTATGATGGACATTATTCATCACATTGAGATTGAGCATCCTGAACTGGTGTGGAAACACAGCTACCATATTTGTAGTAGTGAAAATAATACTTCTGCTTGGAATATATATCATTACCCAGTGTGCATCTGACATTATCTGTATTTGTGTCTGTTTCACTAGGAGCCCAATGCCAATAGTGTAGCATGGAACACTCAGCTTGAAGATATGCTGTGTTTCTCTGGCAATGGAATGCTGAACATCAAACAAGCAATTTTCCCATCCATCAACAGAAGTTACAGGGATTTGTAGTAGGGTTTTGCGGCTCCAAGATATTTTGTCTTCATATATATGCCATGTCTGCAGTAGAAGTGCCCCAGTCAGCTCCTATGTATCAATACCTGGAAAAGAAAACATTTAGGTAAAACCAGTGTTATTTTCTTGCTTTCTGCATG